AAATCTAATTTTTATGCATTGATATAATGCATGTTTCCGATTTGTCAAATAGATTCGAAATCGTGGAACGTCACGCCAGGTGTATGAAGTTGTACATTGAACGTTGTCAGAATTATGTATCCGAAGAAGAGCGACACGCCTTAAACGAGTATACTTTACGAAAAGAAGAGAACCCATTGGATCTCTGCTCCGAAGACCGACCTTACAAGAAGGGTTAGTTTAAAAGTTAAAAAAATACATACCTAGGTAGTTAGTGTAAGAATATAATAGAAAAATTCGAAAATATAAATATTTTATAATTATATTACTATCATACAGATAATACACTGAAAATTATTCGTATATAATATATATAATAATATGCATATTACATCAGTGTATTGTCGCTGTATTTAAACGGTATAATAATATTCTAGTAAGAAATTATATATGCTGGCTGGCAAATTATTAATTTTTTTTTCTTCCGTTCATTGTCTATCGTCTATTTTATTGACGGTGAATATAGTTATATCGTGGTCCTTGTCATATAAAAAGGCTTTCTCCCTCCACCAAAATTCAAGTTATTAATTATATTTTCTATACGCATAGCACACATGGAATTATTATAATAATTATTGTTATACCTAACTAAACCAACTCTTTTTACAACAGTTCAATTGTTGGTCCAATTTAATATGTACTTAACTGTATTATAATACAAGTAAAGATCACGTTTCATACAAAATTATTGGTTCATGGCATTTTTATAATGTTTCCGTTGTATAGGAACTTATGATAAAAGAATATAATAAACACTTTGTAGTCCATCCGCAGACCTTTTACTCAGAGGTCGACCCATGCCGATGCCGACACGGCGCATTGATGTAGGTAGTCCGCTTAGTATAAATATTTATCATGAATATAAACATATGTTTATTTTATGTATATAGTATATATATATATATTTGTTGTAGCGTTGAGTATAAATATTTATTTTGAATATATCTATATATACATACTTGTAATATATGTATATAATATAATATATGTACACATTTTGTACCTATCAGAATTGGCCAGCAGCCGAAAAGCGCCATCTATCTTGATAAGGTGGAACCGTGAAGTAGGCCAGTTTGTTAGTAAAACGTCTAAGCGTTCATCTTATACAATATTACCTTATCGGGAATGCTGAATAAAATTTTATTTTATTGTTATCAGAATTTATTGACCACACGACTTGCACGAATTCCATGTTTGGAATAGATTACGACGATCCATGGACTGTTCATCAGATAAATCAAGAGGTGGAATTCGGACTGATGTCAAAGAAAGCGGATATCCTCKAGAAATGCACGTGAGTTTTATTTATCGCGTAATATCTTAAAATATTATGGTGATTCAATACTCTTGCACAATCGATATTTTTACTTAAAATATTTTGTTGATTTATCGATATTGCTTTTCKACAGCACCGTTCGCCAGTATTGGTACAGTCAGATGACATGGATTCGTAAAAAATGTGGAATGAAGACCTTAAAGTTTTCCCGTCAAGTACTCAGCCATATGTGGCCCTTAATGTCATTGATGGTCAGTATACAAACTTATGGCCATTAATAATAATTGTAATAATTTATATTAATTGGGTACACAGTTCATCCAAATTTATTGTTTTCAAAACCTATATTATTATAATAATTTTATTCATAAATGTATATTTTATGATGTCATCTATGTATATAGTATATTAATTGTATACACATAAACAATATATATTATTTACCTAAATGCCAGAGTTCAAAAAATGAGCTCCAATAGTTTTTAACATTTATAGTTTTGGCGTTTGCAGTGTTGTGTAGAAAATAATAATGTGTGCATTCAAGATTGTATACTGTGTGAAACTTTGCTTTGTTAGTTTATGATTATTGTTAATGTCCATTAATATTTATCAAAAAATCTGTTTATTTGTATGCTATTTGGACATTGGGTATACATATAGTTAAATGGTTATATTATACAATTGTTGGAGTATTATCGATAATTTCGATAATTTATATGGAACAAAGAATTCTTCCACCGATCCACCGATCGTAAGTAGTTGACTGAACCGTTTTTGTAAGTTGATTAGATGTGAGTGACGACTACTATGGGTATTTTTTTACYAGTCAAACTTTTTACCAATTGTACATATAATTATTACAATATAATTATCAGATAATAATTATTTATTACAATAGTAGTTTCATTTCTTTTCCATATCATATGACATCAATAATTTTGCAATATTGTAGTTAGTTCAATAATAACAATGTTAAGTTATAACCATATCCCATTTTTATATGGTTAGGATGCTTATAACCTTTAAATCTCTGAAAAATGTATGTGAATATATCYATCAAATATATAAGTAAGCACTTAAGCCTTAAAACAATATGACATGATGAAATTATGAAATTATGAAATACACAGATTCATAATAATCCTATAGATCTTAAACTAAGTACTTAATAGTAACCGTCTTAACCATTGTTTCTTTTATTGCAGAGAATGTGTCACGAGCCGCTGACAATTTACGGATACATCGAAACATGACCGACTGTTTGGAATGACAACTTTGAACGTCTGCTTTTCAAATTTTTATAATTGCGTTATCGTTTATCAATTTACTTGTACGGATTRTTAACTCAAATTTAATTGTAATTTTTTTTCCAATTTATAAAATAACATAATGCGCTTGAAAATATAGTAACTTAGATTTTGAAAGATAAATATTTATTATTGCGGTCAATCCAACAATAATGGTTTGTGAAATAATTACCTACCTAAAACAAATCATTATTAATCGATGCTATAATTTAATTATATGTAATTAGGCAAGTCTTTTAATGTTAAACACTCATTTTTATGAAAAAACTGATGTTATTTGGATTATTTATCATAATTAACACATGATTATAAATAATTAAAAAACATCATTTTTTTTTTTGTAATGACAGCAT